CCAAAACCCCAAAACCCCAAAACCCCAAAACCCCAAAACCCCAAAACCCCATTCTAAAAGATAAGACTTATAATAGTTGCGATATAAAATTTAGAAATTGAAATAAATAATTTAAATGGCAGAAGAAGAACAACAAGGAGAATACACTCTTGTGACTGAGTCAGGGTAAATCAAAATAATTTAATCCTCAATTTAGTGAGACTTTAAAGAAGTCATATGGTTATACTGGTAGGGCTACAGCTACCTATCCAAACGGTGATGTTTACGAAGGTCCATTCGTTAATGGGGTAATCAATAATTATTCAATTTAATAATTTCATGCAGCAAAGACATGGCGATGAGGGAGTCTATAGATATAACAACATCAAGAAAGAGGGAGGCAGTGAAGACCAAGAAAAAGACAACTATAGAGGTTAATGGGTTGAAAACCTGAAGCATGGCATAGGTAAAATGGTCTATGTTGGTAAGGGAACCTATTACGGTTACTGGGAAAATAACCTTAGAAACGGCGAGGGAGTCATGACTTATGTAAACTAAGATGTCTATTCAGGTAACTGGAAAGATGGGCAAAAGCATGGACAAGGAACTTACGTATTCTTTGAAACTGGAATGAAGTTCGTTGGAAAGTGGAGCAGTGGCCAAATTTCACAAGGAGAGTGGAAATATCCCAATGGCACTATGTTCACTGGCAAGTTTGATAATAATAAGCCAAAAGGAAAGGGAAAGTGGCAATTTGAGAACGGAAATGTAGTTGAAGGTGAATACAGTCAAACCAAGAGAGCTGATGTTGATGTAGGTGATGATATTAGACTCGCATGGAAAACTACCTCTGATATCACAAAAGCCCCAGCTGAATGATTTTATGATGATTGATTGATAATACTTATTTAAATAATTTCTTAGCTTTAATAAAATGAATTAAGAATTAAATTAAATTAAAAAGCCTAATCGTTGCTCACTTTTGCTTTGCTGCTTCACTCGCAAGAAACCCAATTTATAGGAATCGTAATCTAATGATTAATTACAGTTACAGAGAAAGTATTTAATAATCACCTAATTTTATAGTCAGGCATAGTCGAGGGATGGTGCTTAAAACCTGGAGAGAGATGCGAAATTACTAAATTTAGGCTCAAGAGATCAGGCTAATTAATAAAGTTCATAAAATGGAGCGACGAATATCGTTCATGAAAGACTGTTATCGCAAAATATAATCAATTAAAATTAATAAGATGCCTATGAAGCAATCATTAACAATAGAAGAGTTAGTATAAGAGCTCTAGAATATATGGAAAATTTTGGAGATCATATTCTATCTGAAGAGGCATCAAGTGGAACTTCTTCATAAATGACTCATCCTTAAGATCAAAGGATATATCTCAAAATATTCACTTAATTCAGCAATGATCAGATAGAATCTGTTGATTATAGACCTGAAGACAAAGATCTTAGAAATCTATACAAATACATTTGTCCAATTTGCATGAGATATTTTAATGGTATATATTTCTTGATGGAATACATTTTGTCTAATTTTTATATAGTCATCCTTAGTAGTGATTGTTGTTAGAATTATCTATGCCACGGTTGTGCCAAGTATCTCTAGGAGGTCGAAAGAAAAAACATGGATTACTAAGTTAATTGCCCCTAATGTGGAACTCCTGAGTTCTGCTTACTTGATGTAGACTAAAAAGATCCAGTAAGTTAATCCATCAAGTTAACTATATAATAAGGTTAAATATTACTTCGATTCCCAAGTACTAAGTAAAGAGGAAAGCGAAAATGATTAAGAAGAGATTTAAGATCTTTCTCTATCTAATGTAACCAAATCTCCAAGCAAATCTATACCAGAATATAACGAAATTGATAAGAGCAAATTGGTAGAGGAGGATTTGGATCCCGAAGTGGTTAAAAAGGAGATTATTATTCAAAATTATTTTTCAAAAAACGATCCAGCCGAAGATTACTATCAAAAATATCAACAAATTATTAACCCAAGAGATAGAGTTGTATCCATTCTTGGTTCTGTCGTACTTAAGAATAAGTAAAATCTAGTATTATCTGAGTATAACTTTGACAAGAATGACTACGTCAATGCGTGTGAAATAGTGAGGCATAAATCTGTAGATCATTTTAAGAGTGAGCAGAGAGCAGCAGGCTGTGGAGTAGAATATCAAAGCTTTCATATATTGAATGACATATCAAATTATTTTCACCAGACTAATACAGGAACAAAAGCAGAAGGTAAATTTACATAAGCGTTTGGATTTTTGAATGGTAATAGAAGCAGAGGCTCACCAGATAATGTGCATTTCAAATCAGCTCATGGTGGGTATTCAAAGAAAAAATTGGATTTTAGATATCCAGTTGATTTAAAGATACCAAGCAAGAATATTGATAAAAATAGTATGCTTCAGAAAGCACTCTTGAGATCTTAAAAGTACAGTAATATGATTCTCAAACCTCGAAGAAATACGATGTTCAACAAACCCCCATTTCCTATTAATGAGTCAAATGGAAGAGACAGTGGCTCTAGATTCATAATAGATCCTATAAATTCCCCTTTGTTTCAAAACTCAATCAAGATGAGTGATTCGAATGGAATCCAAAGCCCTCAGAGATTCAAGAAGCTCTTCTAAATAAATGATTAGGAATAGTCTTCTGTTAGCAACTTCCTTATTCACTAGAATAGCAGTCAGACTAACTTAAACAGATAGTAATCAAGCAATAATAACCTTAATGAAAACATTAATGATGTCATCAAAAGAAGGCCAAAACTTCCAAGGAAAAATGCAAACTTCAACTCAAATTAGAGATCTGTAACCACTTCTCCAGGTAAATAGCATAATGGTAAGATTTTGGTTATCATATAAATTTTAGGGAATATTGAGGATAAGGAAGAAGCACTTAGAACTGATAAAGTAATTCATTGAGACTATAGAATTTAGTAGAATGATTAAGTGAAAATATCACAGTTATCATTAAATTAGGACAACTATTAATCAGTCAAATAACATTCTATTTATTAAAACCTTTTTTAATTCTTTTGTAAATGCATTTGATGGGGTTTTGGGGTTTTGGGGTTTTGGGG